ACAATTATACAAAAATACATTTGAATAAAAATGTAGACTACAATGCATCATATTTTAAAAGCTCATATGTACAATTTTAACTAATAAGATGTTCTATATGTTAATCTTAAGCTTCATCGTCGTTAATGTCTTGATGTGATAATTAACATTAGACCATAGCTCAGTGTTGACTTCATATAAAGTTCAATTCTTAATTGGGTGTGCGCTCCCCTTTGCTCTCTGCACCATCTAATGTTGTGTTCTCCGAGGTGTCGTAGACACGTGTGTTACGACAAACAGGCCCGGAGCTCTGAGGTGCAGCTCACATAGCATCAGTGCTGTCCCTCATCCCTGCAAACCTTAATTAAAGTGAGCACTTGTGAGAGGAGTGTGAACACAGAGGTGATCCGGTTACAGACGGATGGTGGAGCCAATTTGCTTGAATAAACAAATACAAGCAGCTGATAAACTCATTCGGTTAAACAGAGATATTTACCCACGTGAGGGAGAAGCGTGTTAAGTTCAATATCATGAACATATATCCACTCAAACGGATTTTCTTGGTGAATATAATTGGGATCATGTATGTTATGGCCTCCTTTAATCATAATATGTCAAGTACTTGATATGACAGATAGTGGAAAGTGTCACAGGAAGAAGGTTCCCAGTTCAAATCCTGAATTTAGGGAAGAATGTGAGTGTCTCGATATGTCAGCTCGTGATCCTCTAACCAAACATTAGCTCCTCTGGATCCCCCTGAGACCCTCAGAGGATAAGCTCTATAGATAATGAATGTTTCCCACATGATTCAATTCTTGGTAAGTTTGGTTTAGCTGGTAACTTCATGATTATTTTCATCTCAGATCCTGATTTAAGGGGCCTCAGGTAATTGTCTACTTTGCAGAAAATCGCCAAAAAAAATGGTGATTGCAATGTTCGTTTCTGACGACTAAGTATATTCAGCTCTTAGAAACAGTGATTCAATGATGAAGAAGATATATTTAGTTTCAGTTCAGGTGAAGAAAGCAACAGTATTAAGTTTAAAGGTTACAAAGGCAAAGTCTGACAGTTTCACAACTAAAACAGCGTGAGGTTTCCATTCATGAGTGTCGAGGGACTTCCCTGTATTCACAGCTACGGACGGCTCCATTTGTCAGGTGCTGACTGAAAGAAGATAAACTGTCATTAATCACAGGTGGCTCCCCAGCCACCGCCGATCAGCTCCGCTTTCTTCCTCTCCACCGATGGTTCCAGTTCAACAGGCTTTGTGGACACGGAAATCATAACAACTGTATTTTTATGCAGAATAACAAACGGATACCTGTCCACGACTGTGATGTCTGCAGCCGACACACACGGAAAGGACGTCGCATTCAGGAAACTAACTTCAAGATTCAAAACGGCTGATATTAACCAGCAGGTAGTTTTATTTCAAGACATTTGGCTGACTGAAGCTCACATTATCAGGGTACAATATGAGGAAGTGAGGTTTGTCTCAGGCCAAAGGTCACAAAGAGACCTCGTGTCAAGACTTCCGCAGAGTGTTGCCAGATGTTAAGTATCGTATTTGTGCGATGTACGATCAATCACAAATGATGTGCGACTGTTGTAATCTGGATGATAAAATATAGATTACGTCTTTTCACTCATGTTTGTGATGAGGAACGTGACCATCAAGCTCAACTTCCTGTCTTATGTTTCAAAATAAGTAGTGTCTTGAGAAGGATTGTTTCTGTACAGGAAATCGCTTCAGAACCTCGACACAGCTTCGAAACGTCGGTATTGATTGAGCGTCTCATCTCTTCTCTGGTTGTTTACGAATCATTTTCTTCAAAATACAATAATTTTAACGTGGCATCTGGCAACGCTTCATATTTCGCTCACAGCCATGAGTGTGTTATCGGCACAATCATGGTTATGATGTATGAAATATGCCAAAAACACACAATCATTGCAATACATATGAAGTTAGAGCCAGCGGTTCACTTGTCTACAGGTCACACAATTAACAAGACCTCATTTAAACATGTCAACACAGATAAACAAACCCTCTAGCTTCATAGTTAGCAATGATTGTGTTATCGGCACGTCACAATTGCGCCGATAACACAATCAGGGCTGCATATGTCTGGTACACCAGAACGGTGAATGGGAAACAACATGGCTCTGATCAAATGTCACGAAATGTCAGAAGACCTGGTTTAATCTTTGTTTTTACCATTGATGAGCAAAATAAATGTTCTGGAAACAAACTTTAAAGGTCCTGCTCGTTTGGTTTCCTCAGACACAGTCATGTGACCTGCCTGCACATGTGTTCTGTTTCTCACTGAATGAGTCTAGTATCAATCTTTTTATCCAGCTCCTAGCTGAAAAGTATTATATTGTAGTAGTAACATGCAAAATGTTGGAAACTGTTGTTTTAATAAAAGCTAAAGGTTTCCTCCCCTACAGAGTCATTTCAGTGTCGATGGCCTTTAATGAAAGGCGGTGAGCTCTGTTAACATGGAGGCAGAGAAGTAGGCTAGAAGGACTGATAAGGAAATTGCCTGTCAGGGTCTAATTAACACTCTCCCCTCGGGGCTTAGAGGCTATTGATCCCTCTCACCCAGCCGGGCCTCCGGTGACTTACGACTGAAGAAGAATAAAAAACGAAAACACATGACGTTACCAAGTCACACGAAAAAACAAAAAGTGTCTTTAGGTTCAACAAAATAATCTCCTGGCCCGTGAAGCACTGACACGTTTTAATCACGTGGGAACTTGCGGTTAATATTAGCCTTTTGCCTCACGGGCCTCATTTATATTGTCCCCCGACATGGACATAGGAGGTTAAAGCAAGTGGCACACAGGTCCTTTCATATTTCTCATCAGCGGCATATCCTCAATATCCCTCCTGCCGATTCTCCGATGAGATGAGACGAGTGCAAATTGCCCTCCTGGATGTGTTGCTTTAATCAGCATGAATCGAGATGCAGATTTAATCTTGGCTTCGGCAATTCAGATGGTTGAGCTCGGCTGAGCAAATTCACACGAGAGATGAGAAGAAATAGCTGTTGCATATAAGGATGATAGTATTTTTAATCACTCAGAGGAACATAGGGAAGACTCCCTGGTTCATACTTGCAAGATAACACCAGAGCAACTTAAAGAACAGACGATGGTTTCTATAAATACGACCATGAGTTTTTATTATTTTGCGAGGAGATATAAGCACTTCCGTCCATAACAAAACATTTTTCAAAGACATTATCTTACATGATTCTGCAAAGGCACATTCAACCACTCCATCAAGTCTCAGTCCTGACAGTGTTTTGGCAGATTTGTGCCATTTCTTTCCAATTTCTCACAACACGTGCTGAAACCTCTGTTCAAAGCAAGGCTTCCTGAAAGAGCGCACAGGCTGCAGCATGGATTTAGCCACAGAGTTACTGAGCTGCTTGAGGAGCATCCAGAGAAGAAGCATCATGAGAATCAGGAGTCCGAGCAGCATCCCCACATACACGCTCAGGTTCCAGCCCCAACCAAGTGCCAGGGGCAGCGAGGTGGAAGCCACCAGAAATTTTCTCGGGGCAGGCATGGGGTTAGGCAGCAACCCACCCTCCCCTGCCACTTCCAGAAACGCTCTCCTATCACACTTGGACCTTCTCAGGGGTTAGAAAGCTGCTGTGCTGTAGCCACAGGAGCCATTCTTCAAGCAGGTATCCAGCTGGTTTAGTTAGGTCATAGAAATCCCATCTGCTCCCATGGTTTAATCCTCCAGTTGTTCACAAGTGTGTGCTGTTCAGTGATAAAGCCAACCTGTTGCGAGTGCGTGCTCTGTCTTGGAGCGTTACATCCCCCCCTGAGATGAAATGGTGGAAATCTCTGCGCAGCCGGGCTCTGCCTCCCTTCTCCTGTCAGACTCCTCGCACAAAGCCAGCCTCCCAATTTATCATGAGAGTGGGGGGAGAGGCAGAGAGATGCCATTGGCTGCCTTTAGTTTGTTCTAACAGGGATAAATCAAGTCACTGATGAACAGAGAACATGGATTCTATTGTCATTTGGTATGTGATGAATGTGAAGGTTACAAAAAGCAACACTTCTGCAAGGAATAGCTAAACTCAGATATTTGGAGATTCCAATCAAAGAGTTCATTTATTGTTCACTAAAAAATATTTACTGTGGTTTTTTTTTTTCCTCCCTTTTGCAAAAACTAATGCCAAGATCAAATCCTTCAAATTCAGGGTTAAAATGTTCAGCATGATTCATGCTACTAGGGAATAGTATTAGTGCCCACTCTTCTAATCCAGCATCATAAATTTACACCTGCAACAGTACACAGGATCAAAATATTTCTAAAATGAGAAATCTATACCTCAAAATGTTAAAACAAAGTCACCTACATGAAGTAGGATTTACTGCAGGATGTTTTTTAATCTGCCATGTGTTCATCAGTTTATTGGATCTTCTCAGGTCAAGAAATAAACCATTTAAAGCACAAGATATGTAGTTTTCTTCAAATTACCATAAATGCATTTAAAGACAATATTGTCAAATGTGATAGTTACCTTTTCCATTCATGTTAGTTGTGCATAAACATTTAGAACTTCTGCATTGCAGTTTAGTTCTGTAAATCTTCAGGTTTTTAAGTCTGCGTGTAGAAGAAATCTACTCAGAGCAAATCTGGTCCTCTGCTGCCCCCATGAGTCCAACGTGACCATAAAGATGCAGACATGAAGTCTTACTTTAAATGAAATTTTATTTACAAGAGCCATAGTTTACAGTGCAGAAGATGCCTTGAAAAGCTTTTAACTTCCAAGACACCCATGTAATGAGACAGCTGACTCCATCATGACAGACAAAATATACTTTAATCTGCATCATACGAGGCCAAACATTTAAGTTACACCACTTTTAAAAAAAGGTTGTAGCTCTCGTGTGGCCAACCTTGAGTATATGTCTTTTAAAAGTGTAACCAGCAACTATAAAGTGAAAAATGCTGGGTTTGAGTACATTCAAACATCTGGTGGAGCAGAGATGCTGCAGATCAAAGCATCAAGTGGTGGTGATAACCTCTACATTTTGTCTGTGATTAAAAGTCGACGTTAAAACTGCCTGATCAACCAACACATCTTGGCATGAGTGTCAGAATTAAGTATATAAAAATATCAGTAAAAACTCTAAACATCCAGCACGACTCCAAGAAGAGCAGGTCAGATTGTTAAACTGCGTTACATCAGAAAAAAAATAAATTTTAAAAAGACTGACAGGGGGTACAACGCTACACAGACAAGGGACGAGGTCAGTTCAGCTGCAGTTTCGCTGGAGCGTCGATGCCAGAAACACTTAGGTACCTGGAAAACAAAAAACAGATTTAGAACATTTATATGTTACCCACAAATACAAAATCTATAAAAATATGCAATAGCAAATTATGCCAAGTTTCAAATTTACTTTGAGGTCTTGTACTTCTCCTGGACAGACTGCTGGGCATGCTGAGCAGCAGCGACGTACGTCCGGTGCAGATCCTCGACACAGGGCATCAGATCTTCCAGGGAGTAGCCGGACATCTCAGTCAAAGACTTGGGCTGAGGAAGACAACTGTGTTAATCTACAGAAACCAATTGTCACAACAGAAGCTTTCATAAATAACCAAGGCCTCGTACACACCCTGCATCAACATCCGTCTGAGCGATCAGATCACAAGTGGCCGGCGTCAAGTACGTGTGTTCACACCTGGGATTAAAATGGGCCCTAAACGAGCCTCCGGTGACGAGCTGTGATCGAAGCGCAAGTCCCCGCTCGATATGCAAATTAACACGCAGGCCTTTTGTTTTAGTTCAGACTAAACAATGTTCTGAGCAAGTCTGCGTTTACAGATGCGCATCGCATCACGTTACTATCGGCACGAGCGGGTAAAAGTAGAGAGACGAGTCAGGAGTCTGAATGAATCACATGCAGATAGATTTGACCAATTTAAAGGAAAGTATCGATCATTATATGTGATCAGTGTTGATACTGTGGCAGCAGGTCAGAGGACAGCTGAGCAGGAGGTCCTTTATACGAGGCAAACGAGCCTGTGATGTACTCACCCATGAGCCGCCAGTCAGTGTGTGGTTAGCCAGGGTGTAGGCTGCAGCAGCCGTCTGTGATGGCAAGTACTTTAAGAAGGGATCTGAGTCAATCAGGCTGAGCTCTCCAAAGTACTGAGGGGAGGGAGGGAAAAAAGGAAGCCATGTGAAAACGCAATTTGTAGATTTTTGGGTTGAGAGCAAAGTTGGGGATTTGTCTGCCAAAGCCAAATGGATTAAAGTGCTGCACGCTCACCATTGCCATGCTCTCCACCTGTTTGCTAACAGACTGGTGCTGGAAGTACTGGGTTAGAAACTGGTTGATTGTTGGTGCTGCCAGATCAAAGGAGAGCACTTTAAGCACCAGATGCTCCATTCTTAACACTTGCTTCTTGGTGTAGGTGTCATCTGTGATGTAAACGAACTCGGCCACCTCAGGGGGGTAGATCTCCTCAAATTTCCTGCAAACAAAGATTTTAAAGTCACATTACACAGAAGAAAAGAGGCTTAGTTAAAGGTTTAGTAAAGTGAAGACTTGAGACATACGATGCGAGCAGCATAGCAGCCGTGCCGACGAGCTGAAGCTTCCCCCTCAGGACAGACATCGAAGACAGGAAGCGATCGATGTAGTTAACGGCCAGATACAGCGTCTCGTTCTGTAGCTTGTACTCTTCGCCGACCTCCACCAGCCAGTCGACCAGGATGGCCCTCATGCTGTTTGTGATGTCTGGCTGCTTTTTCATGTAGCCGGCTTTAGGCCTGGATTTGATCTATTGGGTGACAATATTTCAGAAATTCTTTAATGGCAAACTTGGCCAAATTTTACCGATTCTAGTAAAGTGAAGCTACAGGATTTGAAATCTCACCTCAATCTCCCTCAGGTACGTGTGGATTTCAGCAGCATATTCATGGACCTCATTTACATTGGAAGACTTCTCCTCCCCCTCAACCACAGACATGTCCATGGGAGAGTCTAATCAAAGAGTTTTACATTTAGTGCGTGTTCAAAATGTCACTTTATATAAAGACTTTGAGTGAAACTGAAATTTAAGATTATATTTTGTTGTCAAGGAACAGTAACCCACCAAAGCTGACATCCATCGCCGATGGAATGTCAATGTTGGCGAGGGGCTGTCGGAGCCGTGCCACAGCATTGTCGATGGTGAGTGGAGAGTCTTCTGCGACGACCTTGGCTTTGACCACCTGCTGTGACTTTTTGACGCAGGCGCCATCAGGCTCATCAAGGTGGATCTGGAATGACGGCTGCTTGGCAGAGGGCTTCTCCTGACAGCTTTTGCTGAAATCTTCATTTTTACAAGACAATGGCTGCGATGACTCCTGGAAGGATTCAACAGGGTTCAGTTTAGAAAAGGTGTCTCATGGGAGTTTCATTGCAGGAAGCAAGAGAAGTGAAAAGGGGGGAAAACCCTGTAAGAAACCATGAGGCAGGTTATCTCAGATTATGAAATAAAGCAATTATTTTACAGGGATTCATTTAAAGCTAATCCTGTTTCAGAAAGTTGTGTTAAATGTAGTGAAACTTTTCAAACCGCTGATATAAGCTCGCAGATCAAATTGGGGACAAAAGCATATGTGGCAATTAGAAATGTGCATTCAAAAAAAAAGTGGCAGTTTAAAAACCTTAACAGTGGATTAACGAGGGAAACAATTATCTGCAGCAGTAAGTTTAATACAACACTTGTATTGTTCCTTTAACAAAGGCGGGATGTACACACATTAATGCAGCAACACAAAGTAAATGGTGCACAATATGTGACATTAAAATGGCGGACAACCTGGTCACCAGAAGTAGCTCCATATAATCTGCATTTAAATCTGCACATTCGTGGGAATAAGAGTCATCTTAAATATACAGGAGTGAATCCACAGTGTCTGATTTTAACCGTGGTCCCGATAACTGGAGCATGTTGCCTCCAAAAACACACAATGGCACCTCCTGGCAGCTACAGTCAATCATTAGCAAACACTAGCAGCAGCTAGCCGAGCCACCTAGCATCCTCACCTGCTTGGAGCCGCGCTGGTTCTGGGCTTTGCTCCGCTGGTTGTTCTGCAGGGCTCCCAGGACGGTTCTGGTGGACGCCTGCTTCGGGGGCAGGTTCTCCTGGTTGTCGTTCGCCGCCCGGTTCTTCAGCGAGCCCCTGAGTCTTGACAGCATGTTCTCCTGGTTGTGATGCTCGCTAGCCGCCGCGCCGCCGCCTGCCGCGGCAGCTGCTCCCCTGTTGGCCGCTGACATGTCTGTGCAGCCGGTGTGCGGTTACAAAAGCTTCCCCGCTGCTGCTCGGTGCTGCTCGGTGCTTCTCCCGCCGTGGAGGGGGAAAAACCTAAAAACCTGCACGAGTAGCACTGGAGCTCAAACCGAGGCTAGCATTAGCTGTTAGCTCGCAGAGGGGAGTGTGCGGCGACAACGTTCACGAAGCTGAAAAAAAATAAACGACGCTGTTGAGATGACAACGGCGCCGGAGAAATGCGGGGAGGCAAACGGAAACACGCACGACCAGCGAGGAAGCGTCTGCGGTGCGGTGAAACAAAGAACGGGACCTCAAGGCGCCATACTCGAGAAAAGCTCAGCGAAGCGACGGGCGAGCTGCGGGAGGAGGAGGAGGAGGAGACGCGAACAGCTGAGCTCGATCCATTCACCTCCTCACGACGCGAGCTCCCAGTTCAAGTAGCCCGCGAGGATTGAAACGGACCAATCACAGGCCAGGCAGCCGGTGACGTCGGGGGGTGTACGGGAGCCGGAAGGAGGACAATTCGCCTGATTAGAAAATTCAAAACCGGTTTGAAGTAAAAGTCGCACGTGGAGGAGAAAAACAAAAAAACAACACAAAAAAACAGGAGAAATAATTTAAAACAAATCATTTAATCATCATCAGCTCGATGGAGGAGGAGGCGATTTAAAAATCACAAGATAACAGTGACAGAGGTTTGACTGTACACACTAATGCAGAAGTTTAACATATGTAGGTCACACTTTGACCTACATATCAGTGTTATTGTTAATATACTAAGTTCACTTTTTAAAAGTAAATATAAGAGAAATAACAATCAGCAGGAAGCAGGAGGACTTACTATAACAGATAGGTGGTTGTGTTCAATTTAAATAAATACATACAGAGCAGCTACATACATAAAATCTGTAATATGACAATTCATATGTTTGCTTCATACTTAGCAGAATGGCTAATTCAATTATATGGTTTTAATATTACAGCTGGTGAAGATGAGGGCTGATTGTAATAATATATTTCTTGGTTAAAATTCTTATTATTAGTTTGAAACAGCAGTAAGAGGATTTTCATTTTCCCTTTTGAAATGATAGACAATGCAAATACTTGTACCTCAATACTGCTTCTGCTTTACATGAATTGACAACACAACACACTTAAGGTTTGCTACAAACCTGAAGTAGTTTTGATCATTTGGTTCCTTTTTGACTTTTAGTTTTATTTCAGATCCATTACTTCATTTATTTTAGTAAAAATAAGAACCACACAACACAAAACCACTGCACTACAATATAATGTTCTGTATTAAAAGTGTGATGTAAAGATACAAAAGTGTTATCAGCAAAATAAAGTGCTCATCATGCACAATCATTTATTATCACTTTGTCACTTTTTATCTGTGCATTTACCTTGACCATCAATATTTACAAGTACTTCTTATTAATTTACCAATCACGCATTTGTAGATGTGATCATTCATGAAAATCAATTTGAACAAATATTATCACATTGTTATGAATTCATTCATAATATTTATGATCTAAAAATACACATGAAATGTGCTTTAAACTTGGAAACTGAAACTTCAAACCTGAACTGAAACTACTACTGAAAAGAATAACCTGCAACATGTGTGAAACTTTGAGCAGTTTATTAAACGCCACTCTTGTTTTTAGATGCTATCAAAATACATTATAAATATTTAAATATCGTACACAACATTTAGGACCAACAGTATCTAAATGACAGTATGACAACGTGATATTTTGACACTTGACACGTCTACCATGAAACAAAACCTCTGTGTTTACTGTACAAAAATAGCTCAACTCTATGACATCATGCCTCACTGAAAAAGTCTAACAGAGAATTCAGGTCATAATTATCGAGTATCTCCAGTAATGAGGAGACTTTGGTTTTCACATTCTGCCCTTTGAATTTGAACTTGTCAATGAAGAGGTCTGTGATCATTCCTGCAGGAAAGACAAAGAAACACAAATATTTGCGTTACCATCATTTTAAAACTCTGGATGAGAGAGCTACAGTGGAAGACAATGATGATTTTAAATGTGACGGTAAAATACTGCACCATAAAGCCTCTCGAGGTGTGCCGGCTGCTTCTTGTACTCCTCGAGGAGATTCACGGACTCGTCTAAGATGTTGCGATACTCTGGGATGAGGAAGTCGGCGTTCCCCTCGTGAACCTGAAGCTCCTGTCGAGAGAGGAAAGGAGGAGGTGAACACAGACAGCGTCCTAAAAAAGCCTGAGAATGGCTGAGAGCTTGTTGCTTTAACCAAAGGAGGGAGGTAACAGGATACATTTAGTTTTGGACATTTGGGTTCTTGCAAATAGCTCCTCTACATGATGTCTAGATATGTTCAGAGTGCATTGCATTTAGGAAGAATAGTGCCACTCAACGGCACACTCTTTATACTGACTGCTCTGAGTGCAGTGTGGATGTGAGAAGCATGGATTCTGAGTCAGAGGGTCTGAAATCAAAACTTTGTTGAAGTTCATCTTGTTTTCTGCAGACTGGCAGAGCTTTGCACCATCTGCTGTTCAACAATTTAAGAGCAGGTTTTTTTCTTGTAGGACGGTACATAATTCTATTACTTATGGTACTAACCTTTACGATACACTTACTTTAAGAGCATCAATTAGCTGAACCTTTCTAGCCAGCAACAACTGGTACTCCAGCTTTGGATGGATCATGTTGAGTGTGTGACTCACAGAGTCATCGTTGATATCTGGAAGATAAATCAACAAAAGGAAATCTAAACAAGATTCAATACTACAGTACAATAAACATTAGAATATAACACATATAAAGCTACCGTATGAAATGTTGAGGTTGATTTTCCTCTTGGTGGCTTCTTTAGAGAGGACATCACTTAGTATGGAGATGGTGGAGATGTTGTCTGACCTGAAGTGACCCTCTCCTTTGCTTTATTATAAATACAGAAACATATGATTAGACCCAAGAAAATAATAACACAAATCACCCCTGAACATTTTAAATGAAGTGTGGAAATAACATTGTATGACCCCTTGTCAGTTATCTCATTATTTCTACACACTATTGTATAATCTATATGTATAATCCTTGTGTCTTTCTACTGTGGGCTCTGTTTACCAGTAATTGGCTTCAAGCTGTGTGCCGAGGAAAGTGTTCTGGAAATGAAAAGTGATGCTCTCTCCGGCTGGTGTTTTCTCAGGGACCTCTGGCAAACAGAAGACCACCCAGGAGTGGATCTCAGCAAAACTGAACTGTCCCACCAGACTGAGCCTGTTCATGGGCCTGTAGGACAAACAGACAGACAGACAAGATGAATTTTCAATATTCAGTCCAAACTCCAGAAGACAATTCATCAGCAGTCTCTACCTGTCTTGGTCTATGCTGTGTGTGCGCTGGTGGAGGGACAGAGGTTTGATCTGGTACTGGCGGACCTGGCAGGTCTTGGGTTGCAATCTTGGGGTAATGTAGGCCTGCAGGGTTCCATATTGTCCCTCAATGGACCTCACCTATGAAACAAATTTATCATAGAGGAAAACACATTTTTCCACAGTTCATCATTCCACCTCTTGTTAAAACAAGTCAACTACGGATCACTTTTCAAATATCTACAAGAATGTGGCAGAAGAACTAGTATAACACATTATATGATATATTATATTATGTTCAAGTACATGGGGTTTAAGAAAAACTAACTTCAGTAAGTAAAAGAAAATTCCCTGGATACACATGTTTTGATGCACTTTCTACCTTGAGCTCAAGTCTGGTTGTGTTTGCCTGACATCTGTACGTGGCCAGGAGGAAGTTCCCGTTGGGCTGCTGCAAAAGTCCGAGTTAAGAGTTAGAGAGAGGCTTCTGGTTTGTTTCTTTAGTGTCACTGTATGTTTTAACACAGCTCACCTCAGAGTCACATTCACTGAAACTCACAACAGCTGAGTTTTTATCCACATCCAGCAGGTCAATGGGGACGTCGCTCTGCAAAGTGGATTCAACTTTCAGGGACATTTTGACTTAAACTTCAAGTTTGACTGTTACTAGGGGTTAGAACGAAAGTTTGTTGCCGAGAGTACCTGGAGCAGCAGATTGTCGATGGCGGTCTGCACCTCCAGAGTGAGGCTGTAGCTGGCGTCGTCCTGGCAGAGGGTGAACTTGTCATTAATGCTAAAGACGGGCACAGCGGAGACGGCCGTGCTCGACTGAGACGTCTGCTGGTATTGCTCTCGTCCCTGCAGGACTTTGACCTGCAGCTGGTCCAGCTCGGCCCTGTTAATGAACCACATGCTAACCTGAAGAATGGACTGATTTTGAAATCATGCTCTATATTGTATACCTCTTAAGTCACGGTTCAAGAACATACTGAGTAATTAGAAAGGAAGCAGTATTACCTGAGTGCTTCTACTTTGGACTGAGTCTCCTTACTCATCCTGACCTCGTCTCCAGGGCCGGCCTCGGTCTTCTGGGGCTCAGTGGTTAAACCTGTCACCCATCCTGGAAGAGGCGATGACAGTTCTTCAGAATAGGCTGCACATGTCAAGATCCCCCACTACTACAGTACTAAAACATAAGCTGTAGTGTTACACACATTGTATATCAGACAGTCTAAGAAATTATCTTTCTTATCAAGAACAAAGACAAGCACATAGATGATAGTTTGACAGGTTTGATGAAGCATATGGACTCAAAGTGTTTGAAGTTTGAACCTGTGTATGTGGCAGTCAAGACCTCATCATAAGACTCCTTCCCCACGCAGCCACCCTGGATGGAAGTCACGCTCTCTGATAGAACCTGAAGGGAGAAACATGGCCATCGACGGGGGAGTGTTAGGATCAGGATATCATGTTATCCTGCTAACATGCTTGAACATCTAAGAAAAGTTAAATGATTTAATGTCAATAGTATTTTACTATGTTTATTAGATGTTAGATGCTCAATGAACTTTCCCCTAAGTTTAAACTTTTGGTGTGAGCACATACATCAACTTACATGATCAAAGCGTAAAGTGGGTTCACTGGAGCTGTCGAAACTGTAAACTTCGACCGTCCCGTCATCCCTGCCCACCAGAATGTCATTGACTCCATCTCCAATAATGTCGTAAGTATCAATGCAAAGAATTCCTGTTGGACACAGGAAAGAGTAACTGTGCTGTGAAAGCAACAACAAGGAGAACGTACTCGTACACGCACGTAAACCAAGAATGGGAAAGAAGTTTCCATGATGATCAGTTTAGATTCTTTAACACATATTCTGCAAGTTGATTTCACATGCAACATAAAGTCCCATGAAAAACAAACCTCCTTTCTTTTTGTCATTGTCGATCTCCCATTTGGTTGCAGCTGATTGCTCACCGATCTGGACCAAACCAATTTTACCATCTGTAGTTCCAAAGAGAACTTCCTCTCCTGTAGAGAGATCACTGGCATCATGTTCGGTCTGTTCCTTTTAAAACAACGTGATGTTTCTTATAAACAGTGCACAGAGAAGTTAACAACTCACCTCCGTCTTTGTTGTACATTTCTAAGACGGACGGAGGGCCGGGGACTTCAATGTCATATGCAAGCTCAGATCCCTGGAGTTAAAAACATGTGGGAAAAATGATCCTCTGATTGTTTGAGGTTGAACAACAGAGAAGAGTAAATAGCTTTGTTTACCTGCAAGACTCGGAGAACCCGATCTTGGCATGCGAGGACCGGAATGAGGCGAGTCAGGTTCTCTGATGACAAACACGTGATATCATTGATTTTGTCTCCAGACAGATAGTAGTCCTGGTCCTTGCAGTCACAGTAGTGGTTGTAGATGTAACTTGCACAAACAAAGAGGTCAGCGCCTGAGACGTGCCTGGAAAAGAGGGAACCAAGATCAGTCAGCGAAAGTAAAAACCCCACAGCTCAAGTGAATCAAGCAGAGGAAGAACATAACAATGGACAGAAGTGGCTCCTACATGGCATTAATGGTCTCAGTGAGGTTGGCATCAAAGGTGAGGAACTGTTTTCCTTTCTTGGTGAATCCTCGGACCTGAGAACCAGAACAAACAAAGATCTTCTCCTGCGGCGTCCCCGCAGCTCCTCCGAGGTCTATTCTGGATATTTTCTGCCCGGGGAGCGTTTTAAACACAGGCTGAAACAGAAAGTCACATTTCTTACCGTCAACACATTAAGATCCAACTGGCTGTAGAATATTGAAATAAAAATCTTAACCAGGACACACACCACTGCTTCTCCCTTCTTCATCCCAAAACATGTCAAGATACCATCGTGATCAGCAATAGCAACCTGAAACAAAGAGACACCGATCAAGCAAAATGAAGTGTCAATATCAAACTATAACAAGTTCAGGTCAGACGTTAGGCACCGGTATAGCTCAGACACCATTATCACCTTTTGAGTGGCCTTTTTTCCCAATGCTGGCAGCAGCCTCATCGTCTTCTGAGAGGTCACACCGACCTGCGAGGAGAAAGACGACCATGTTTTAAAACAGAGGAGAACCAAGTGACTGCACAGAGGGAAATACACTTCATCTGTTTATAGTTACTTTAATCATCTCCCATAAGATAAGAACTGTGTCATGTGAAGTAAAAGTCCTGAATAAAAAATATTAGTAATGATCATCTTTATTTATAAATGCTTCAACATTAGAGCAGTGAAATAATGAAAATAAATTATGATCAAGGATTAAAGCTGAATGAAACACAACTCATATAAAATAAGAAGTTAGATCTAATCAGATAAAGAGGTAAGACAGGATCACATACTACATACTGGCTCTTATGTTGCGAGGCCACAGAGAAAGCAATGATTTTATAAATGTTCAATCGATCATATGTTGGCTGAGAAAAGTAAAAAAAAAACTAAATCTGTTGTAATAGTCAAAGTATGACAGTGTTTAGTTTTTGGACAGAACTCGTCTCAAAGCAAACACACGTGTGTGTTTACCTGCTCAACAATCCAACACAGAGCAGCTCAACAACTGTGACAGCAACAGACACGAGCTTCTGAAAGATCCGCGACAACGAGACTCTCACCTGGATGTAATCCACTCGGTTCAGGTGCAGCTCCATCTTCCTTCTCCACTGGAAAGAAAAACCGGGATTAACCCGCGGCGAGGAGATTAGCCCTGTGTGCTAACGCTAGCTAGCAAGCTAATTGGCTAACGCGACTCATCCGCACGCAAACTGTTTTTATTTTACTGAAAAGAAAATAAATCCAGGATCGACGTCGACACGAGAGCAACACCGGAGCAAACCAGAAGTTTAAAGAACACTGAGCTCCGGAAGCTGCTCGATGTCGAGAGTATTCGGATGAAACTGAAGCTTCTGACACAGATCGGCCGAAACTGATGTCCGTTGCCAACAGCGACGCTGTGTCCGCAACAAGCTGCGACGCCATTGGACGAGACTGGAGGTCAGAGGTTGAAGCTGCGATCTGATTGGCGGACGCGCTCCTTATAAATAGAGCAGGATTTCCATTATTCTCTGCAAACTAAAAAAAAAAGTGTTGATTGTTCAACGTGGCTCCAGATGATATTCACAAATCAATCCATGTTGTAATATATAACAAACTTTATTTTACTTCTGTTTTAGTTAAAAGGCTCCAGTTAGAGTTTGAAACTGGGAAACAGACATTCAATCAGTCAATCATCTCTTTTTATTTGTATGGACCTCATTCACAGATCACAGTTTGTCTCATAGATGTTAACAAGGTGCGACATCCTCTGGTCTTAACCCTCAACAGGAGTAAAAACAAAAAAAACACTAAAGAGACAGAGGTGACATCACATTCAGTTTTACAGTAACGGAGGTGAAGATCTTTCTTTCTTCCTCTTCACCACCATCACGGTGAAGAGGAAGACGGTGAAAATGAAACACTGAATATTAAAGCACTGAATTTTGTTTCATGTGTCTCACTCACAGACTTTCTTCACACTCTGAGGGCTGTGACAGAATTTAACTTGAAGAATGAAGTCAAGTGTGACACCAGAGTTAATGTACAACAAGAATGTTCAGTGTAGACAAACCACAGATCCATGAACATGTTTTCTGCCTGTGGAAAATGTCTTTTGAGCATTTTGTGGGCGACATTTTACTCTAAAGAAGCCATCGTCTGTCAAAAATCTAGAACAGCAAAATAAAGTCTCTCACTCGTATGCGCTAAGAAGAGAGCATTTCTTCAGATTGGTGCCTTAGTTTAGAGTTTCTGAGTTTCTGAGCATGTTTAGGCCTCAAAGGTTCATAGAAAGATGGAAAAAAAGTGCTGGGAGTGTGGCTCAGGAGATTCCTGCCTCAACACAACACAAAGAAGTGTTCTTGGACAAAATACTCAACCCCTATGAGGACCTACCAGGACACAGTCCATTTAATAACCACAAACGCACATGACTATACTTTAATATTTTATTGGTTTAATAAGAGATCAATTCATTCTCGTCATAATAAAAATGTGGTTTGTCTGTAGGCAAATAAACATTTAACATGGAAGAAAAAAATAAACCGTGGACATAATCAGCAAGAAATCTACAATAGCAACGAATAAATGAACAAATGTTAAACCGAGAAACAAGGTCAGAATGCAGCCATTCACACGACATGCATTGTGCAATTCATTTCACACACAAAAGTATCTGGTACCTTAAAATATTCTATAAAATACAGCAGATGTCTCGCTCCTCATTTTGACATCATACCTACTAAGATCCTGCATGTTGTTAAAATATAAGTTGATGGCATTGATAGAAAACATAAGTCAGGCATTAAGACAACATCAGATGATTTGCACATAAAAAGAAATTAGACAACAAACATCACCCACCTTTTTAAGAAAAAGAACAGTTAGAATTATGTGTAAGAATCATTTTCAATTAACTTATTAATCTCTGAATGTTAATGTTTGATCACAGGATAAGCAATTTTCATGAATAAATAAGGACAAGATAGGAACGAACAATAACAGCTGATAAAGAGAGAACACAGCTGATGTTTCCTGTGCTTCGTTCAGTGAACGCAACAAGGTGAGGGGTGTCCACTGCTTGAATGAGGTCACATTAGGAGGATGGGAAAAGAAATATCACCGTGAGACTTCAGTGCATTACTGGCTGCTCTTCAACTGCACTCAAATATACAGACAGGTTGGAGCACAGACTGTAAAGCTGACATTCAGAAAACAGTTCCTTCTGCTGATGGCATTGTCTGTCCCCATCAGTGTTTAAGTCACATCCTAAATGGTGAAAAAAAAAAAACAAATAGAAAGAAAACACGACTTTGACGTGGTGTGATCAGACGCCCGTGGGGGCGAGGCGGCTGATGAAGGCGATACTGCTGAGGCACATCCTCCTGAAGAAGGCGGGACAGGCAGGCTTCATGATGAAATGCTCCAGAAGAATCCGCAGCTCTGTGAACAAGGTGCTGGAAGTGGAAAGACAATGTTTTATTACTCAACTCTGATAATTAAACTGAGGTTTGTCATTAGTTTCATCTGATCACATCACTCCGATGTCTAGTACATTTAATTTAAATGACAGAGAAACATTTAAGTAAAAGACACATTTGCTTATTTTTCAATAGGAGTCAAGTCTGATTTCCAGCAGACATCTCTGCTCTCTCTTCTTGTTCTCTTGAATTATTGGCTGACTACATGTCTGCATGTTTCCCCAGCAGTGCACAGTTTATAATGTCAGTCTGACCAGTGCTGGATCTGACAGTTTGAAAACGAACAGTGCGTCCTCATGGACTAAATGTACGTGTCTGACCATTCTGTACTGAAATCTCCTGTCAACTTTACAACTGTACTGTATCTGAGATGTTGGACGATAAAAGCAGTACAGCCACATTATTGGATCCCATACATGCAAGGTCAACTCTTCCCTGTTGTTTAAACCTTTCCTGCCAAATGATAACTGTCTAAGATTAGCAGGAGTTTTACACTCTTCAACCTGGACGCTGAATATCGTCATTAACATGAGATGTCATGATAATATTCTATTATTCGATCTTACCGGCAGTATGGGTTTCTTCTGGATGTGTAGCGGAGAGTGAGAAATCTGTAGTAAATGAAAGGTAGAAGCAAGCTTCCCTGGCCACTGTTGAAAAGAAATGAAAGACATGAATAAAACAAAACTGACATTACACAATGGATCGTTCAATAATCCAACAATAGACAATAACATGAATAATAAAATGTTGTAAATATTTCTCTTCAGTGCAATAACAGGGAAAAGTGCACATACAAGCAGAATATCTCGTGACAATACATTTCTTTTCAACTTCAGTTGTGAGCAAATACCTGAAAAGCATGAAGACAGTCGCTGGCATCAAGAAGATCTCATTGCAGGCGATGAACTTGAGGATGTTCTGCTGATTGGCTGTTAGTTTGTCCAGGAGGTTTCTGATGAACATCAAGCTGTTGGGGCCAACGGACTGAGAGAGAAATACAGAGTCAGTGTTTACTGATACAGGGAGGTGAAGGTAAAGAAATTACATTATCAATCATCCCTTTTTATTAGATTTTTAGGTGGAATTGGGTCCCTGAGCAATGACCATTTGATTGAGTAGATAATTAAAACACCATTTGGCTGGTGGTAATGTCCCCCCCGGGTGTTCAATAATATTCAGCGAGCGGCTTTCTGTCAAGACATTTTAATAAACAGCATTATACTCACATCCAGCACTTTCTTTGTGTAGGTAGTTGCATGAAGCAAGGAGAAGAGGAAGACTGGGAAAATGCTCACTGGACACAAGAGTTAAAGATCAACAGAAAAACAGAGCGAACAACACAAAATAGTTTCTGTGGCTGCATGATTGTTAGTTATGGTGAATCACATTTTTCTTTGATGGGTGAAATCCTGAGAAATTGAAGCATGCGCAATTTGGCAAATCCTTCTGAAAGCCTCAATGTAATATACCATGTACTGTCATGTGGTATTCTGAGCATCCACTAAATGTGGAGAGAGCAGCCATGTTATTGCAATCGCTGAGTTTTAATTCACTTCAGTAACCAGATTACTCAGAGAAATCTGGTTACGCAAGTAATCAGAAAAAGCAGCGTAAATCCACATGTTTGCGCAGCAGATCTGTAACCAGATTTCTTTTTTGGAAACTGCTAATTTCAGCTGCTTCCTGAGTTGTTTTTGGATGTGTCAAAGTTACAGTGACCAACGGGCAGACAAAAATTTATATTTCTTTAAAACAAAGAAACTGCCACACACTAGCTCAGTTTAAAAATGTAGCTGCATCTTAAGTAACAATGCAATACATCTATATAAACCTTTAACAGAAGGACCATCGTCATACAGTCTCAGTCCCTAGAAACCTCCAATCAAACTGTCTTTTATTCACATGATTTCCCTAAGTTAACCAAGTGCATGTGTCATTTTCTGTGTACTTCCAGGTGAAAGGATACTTGTGATGGGGTAGGAGTTGACCAGGATGAGTGAGTAGAGCAGGTAATGGCAGCTGTCCTCTTGAAGAGCCTGTGCCAGGAACTCTCTGCTCAGCTGGAAGCGTGGAAGTCTTTGATGCAGGCGAAGAGCACTGGTGAGGGCGTTCGCCAACAAAGCTCTCTGATAGAAGTTTGCTGCTGCATAGGGTCTGAAAAACACACGCAAGAAGGGAATGAGAGTGAGGCATAAGCAGTGTCAGGTCATCAAACTGTCTTTATGATGTTGGTACGCTATTACAGAAACAGTAAGTTCACTCACCCCAAAACTGGTAGAATAAACATTACGGAGCAGTAGACGGTGAAGAGTCGTGACAGCCACATCGCAGTTTCAAGCTTGTTGCTCATTAAAAATTGCTACGGAAAAAAGAAATACGTGATTCAGGGACATATATGTAGAGCGGTAATGTGATGCTAAGAGTTGAACCTGCTCCATCACTTGTTATAAACAAACATGTGTGAAGGATGTTCGGTGTGTCTCAGAGTGCTGGATTGATTATTTCAGCTCATATATGTTTTATCATTTAGATTTTTGAAATGACACGAGAAGGTTTCAGTTTTTTCATGTGTACTGAAAACATATTCATTGATGGTTCAGTCTGGTTCACTCAACTCTCACAATAAACCCGACAAAATGAAACAACAACTTAATTTAATCTTAGACTGAATTCTTCCACCCTTTCATCAGAGGTCATGAGATGCAGCTGTATCTCATTAAAGAACTTCTCCGTCACCTGACAGTGCAAAAGATCGACTTTCTTAACATTTCAAAACGGGTTACACATACACTGACATAAAAATTCACATGAATCATAAGAACTGTGGTGAGTACACTCTGACTTTTTTATAGAAAGGAAACTGTGTGTTTGTATTAAGTGGACACAAAAAATACCTGCACTGTATCCCATCATCAAGACATTCTGGATTGATGATGTCAGTTAAACTCACACTGACAAGATGTGCAATCTTGTTTACCTTTAT